GACGGGCCTCAAACATGTCAGTGAGGTAAGGGGTGTCTATCCCAGGTATGTGGAGGCTTTCCCTGGTGGAATGGGAGGATGAAAACAATTTATTCCAACGGCCATGAAGGCGGCTGAGGCAAATCTTGTGAAGCACATAGAGTTTGGTCAGGCTCAGGAGACATCAAGGTCATCCACTGCGTCCTTGACCATTGCCAGTTGTCTTGACTTTTGTCCTGCCACTGGCCTTCAATGACTCAGGAAGAAATAGTGAAGCTGACTTTGAAGCTCTGTCTCACTTAAATCCAATTCCCAAGCAAAGCAAGACATCACCCATGATATCATTGGTCCTCTTCAATAACTGTGGATGAACAACAATATGTGTATGTAGGTATATGTGTACACATGTGCATCCACAAATATTCATATATATATAAATATACATATTTTGCATATGTTTTATATATTATACGTATGTTCTTATTAAGTAACCGAATATTTCTCATTGCTAACAAGCACAGAAAATAATGGAAAGTGATGATGAGAGTCACATTCTTACTAAAAACTCATTTGTTTCTAAATGTCTAATGTTTAAATAAATAATTTCAATCACATGTTTTTAATCTCACTTTTTTTCTAACATTTAGATGTAAGGACCTAGTAAAGAAAGGAAGAAAGATCAAGTTGTTTTTTAATTACCTAATTTTTTTTTGGATATCTCTTCCTTCAGAAAATTCCACAACTGATTAGAAAATAACAAAACAGCTCTTTCCCTTCTAGTCTTACTGCCAAATTCTAATGAAAAGAGAGCTCAGTTGTCTGCTCTTCTCCTTCTGTAATGATCACCAGTAACTTCTGGAAGAATTGCAGTTGAACTGAGGCCCATCCAGCAAAATGTTCAGGACGTGCATCTTAATTCACTCAGGGGCATTAACTGGTTGGGGGGCCTCTGAGGGGGTTTTTTGTTTTCCCAGTGCTAACAACCTCGTTTCCTGCTAGTTGATTTGTTTTCCTCTATAAAACTTTTGGAAAGTACTATAATGCCATATGTCTTCTTTCAAAGGGGTTCCTTTGAATGCCAGACATTTTTCTGCTCTGACATAATTTGATAACAATGAAAACATCAATTGCTTCAATTGGTAACACTCCAGAAAATGAATTTAAAAAAAACTCCAACTCTTCCTTCCTGAATATATGTGTATATGTGTGTGTGTGTATACATATACATACACAAACACACACATATATATATATATATTTTTTTTTCAATTGCCTTGCATCTCGGATTGTCTCTGTTATCTTGAATGAATCACAGAGAGGTTTTGGGTGGATGATGGGTCCTAAATGTACACTCTTTGGAGAAGGCTTCTATAATGGATAAATATACCTCTTTTACCAGTTCGGCTATTCTGTTTTTAAGGTGTTATTTTCTATAGTATTTTTTTGTGCCTCCTTTAACCAAGCTCTTGACTCGTTTTTCATGATTTTCTTGCATCACTCTCATTTCTCTTCCCAATTTTTCCTCTACTTCTCTTACTTGATTTTAAAATCCTTTTTGAGCTCTTCCATGACCTGAGACCAATTCATATTTTTCTTGGAGGCTTTGGATGTAGGAGTTTTGACTTAGCTGTCTTCTTCTGAGTATGTGTTTTGATCTTCCTTGTCATCATAGTAACTTTCTATAGTCAGAATTTTTTTCTGTTGTTTGCTTATTTTCCAGACTGTTTCTTGACTTTTCACTCTTTGCTCAAATGGGGTTCTACTTCTAGGGTGGAGGGTACACTGTCCCAAGCTTCAGCTGTTTTCAGAGATACTTCTAGGGACCTGTAAATTGTCAGTTCTTCCAAGGTGGTATGATCTAAGGAGAGGTGTTTACTCCTCTCTTGGCTTGTGCTTTGGTCTGTGAGTGACCACAACTACTCTTTTCTGCCCTGGAACTGTGGGGAGGGTCCCCCCTCCACTGTGGCTGCAAGCTCTGGTGTGGCAGTGCTCCTCCTCATCCTGGGACTGCCACCCAGGACTGGGACCAAGATCTGAGTATGGGTAAAGCAACAAAGTCCTGTCCCCAGTGCCATCAAAGAGACCCCTGTAATCTCTTTTTGACCAGTTATTCCATCCCCTTCCCATCTATGGTGTGAGAGCTCCAGAAGGAGTCACCGCCACAGCCATTGCTGATTCAGTCCCTCTCAAGGCTTGCTCTTGGTTTGCCTGGCCCAGCCTTCAGTGCACTCTCACCCTGGTGGGACAGACCTTTCCTGCCGAACTTAGTTGCCTTGGGCTGGAAAATTGTTTTACCCCATTCTTTTGTGGGTTCGACTGTTCCAGAATTTGTTTTAGTGCATTATTTAAAGGTCTTTGGAGAGGTTTTGGGGATGGCTCAGGCAAGTCCCAGCCTTCTCTTTGCCATCTTAGCTCCACCCCCAATAGACAATTTTTAAGAAATGTTTTTTATTCCTGAAATAAACCTACTTGATCTTCATTCTACTTCTTTCCCTTGAGGGTCAGAGTTTCAAAATCACCTGATCTCTGACCTTTAAGGGAAAGAATTATTTTGATTAAATAAAACAAATATTAAATGTACAAAGAATGTTTCCTATACCTCCTTCCCTCTTTGCAGTCTGGCTTCTACCTCCACCACTTTTCTGAAAGGGCACTGCAAAATAACACCGTTGATCTCCTTATTGCCAAATCCTACGACTTTTGGTCAGGTCTCATCTTCCCTGACCCCTGTATAGCATTGGACTGAGTCACTCCCACATCTGTGCTGCAAAGCCTGCTCTGACCCCAGAACTCAAGCAAATTCCTTTATCTGTTCAATAAAGTTGCTAAACCAGGATGCCCTCTAAGGCTGATTCAAGTTCTAAATAATTTCTGATTCTATGATGTTGCTGGAGGAAGATTTGGTTTCTGACACACATTTGATACAAATGGGCTGACCTTGGAACTCTTAGCACTTGAGGAAACCCTCTAAGACAGAAAAGAAGGTGTTTATTCCCCAACCTAGCATTCCCAGTATCAAATAATTACAGCTCCAGTCCCTATCCTATCCCTATGATGAAACAACCGATGATTCTACTCCCATTCTTCTGGCTAATCTCCTACCCTTCTGCTTCCTTTTTCTTGTTCCTCCCTCCTCTTTCCAACCCCCTAAGAGAACTATTCCCCAAGGTTTTGTCCTTGACCCTATTTCCTTTCCTCTATACACACACTTTCTCCCTTGACTATCTCATTCACCCTCATGATATGGAAGCCATGAAGTGGTTGTGGAAAATCACCTCAGTGCAGGTGACTGCACATGTCTAGCTCTGACCTCGGTTTTGAGTTCAAAACCAGCTTCTCCAACTGCATGAGGACATTTCCACCTGAATGACCTGTTGGCACTGGCAAAATTCAAAATGTCTATTATTGAGCTTTGTTCTCTTCCCCTAAGCCTGCTCCTTCTTCTTTCCGACTTCATTATTTAGGTGAGTAGCAGCAAAGTTCATTCAGATCCCCAAACCGAAACCTTATGGTTGTCTCTGCCCCTTTCCCTTCCCATGGCCCTCCTATCCAACTGGTTACCAAACCCTGCTGGTTCTATATTCACAAATCCTTCCTTTTACCTACTGCTAATGCAGCCTCTTCACCGAAGCTTTCCCAAACTCTCCCTCGCCTCTTGCCTTAGTCAGTAATAACCTTTTCCCTCTTGAACATCCATAAATCACTTTATTGTGCACCTCTCTTATACACATATAGAACCAGAGTTAAAACGGATCTTAGAGATAATCTAGTTCAACTTAATCCTTTTGCAGATAGGGAATCTGAGGTTCAGAGAAGGGAGGGGATTTTTTTTACTATGAAAAATGCTTTACTGGTGTTATCTGTACAGCATTTGACATCAAAGAACAGAAAAACAGCAAGTGCAGAATGCAGCGAGACGCAAACATCAAAAAAACAAGTTTGTGAGTGAATGAAAGGAGTTCATACAGCTTTCAGTATAATACACAAAGTAAGTGATGCACAACTTTACATCACCTCCTCTTCGACCTCCTCCTCAAATTCTCCCTCCTCCTCAGTTGTAGCATCCTGATACTGCTGATACTCAGAAACGAAATCATTCATGTTGCTTTCTCCTTCAGTGAATTCCATTTCACCCATACCCTCACCAGTATATCAGTGTAAGAGTTTCTGTGAAACATGGCCGTAAACTGCTCAGAAATGCACTTAAAGAGTTCTTAGATGGTGGTACTGCTACTATTGAAGGTGGCAGACCCTGTACTCTATGTCATCTTGTTAAAGTTGAAACTTTACAAATTGACCTCCATTTTGAGGAAGTGCCCAGGCCAGCCAGTCTTCATTCCTCTCCTGGCTCCACTGGCTGACTGTGAGTCTTCATGACAATGCCTTAGGGGGCAGCTAGGTGGTGCAGTGGATAGAGCACTGGCCCTGTATTCAGGAGGACCTGAGTTCAAATGTGACCTCAGACACATGACACTTACTAGCTGTGTAACCCTGGGCAAGTCACTTAACCCCCATTGCCCAACTGAAAAAAAAACAAAACCCCCAAAAAACCCCCCAAATAAAACAAAACCAAAAAAAAGACAATGCCGGGCAGCTAGGTGGTGCAGTGGATAGAGTACTGACCCTGAAGTCAGTAGGACCTGAGTTCAAATCCAGCCTCAGACCAAACACTTGACACTAGCTGTGTGACCCTGGGCAAGTCACTTAACCCTAATTGTCCAAAAAAAAAAAAAAAAGACAATGCCTTAGATGCTTCCTCACCCAGGAAGAACCTTCCAGCCCTGAAACCTCCTTCTCCTATTGGTCAATTCTTCCTTGGAAGAGGGAGCTTCCATTTAGAGAAAGTAAGCTCACCATGAGCAGGGCACCATGCTAAGCACTTGGTGAATGCTTATTGACTTAGCAATTGATATTGAGAAATTATCTAACAGCCAGGAGGATTTTTGCCAAATTTCACATTAGTATCCTGCAGGTGATACCAGTTATGTAAACCATAGCTAATACAATGATAAATTACTAACCTTCTATTGAATGATGAAAACTTTTGCCTCATTTTGCAAAATGGGTAGATCCGCTTCCTGCCCATGGGAAGCAAATCAGCTTAAAAATTGCTCCAGGGCATGGGTATAAGCATCTCACAACATTTTCTGTCCTAGGGGAGATCATTAAAAATACGTTAATTATCAAAGAAATCAAGATATTCACTTGTTTGTTCAACAGATCATGTCCTATAGATCCGATTTCCCAATAGAAGCTTTTATAAAGTGCAAAGTGTCCTCTTGCATCCTGACCTAGGTGCTGTTCCCTGCAGAAGCCAGGTTAGCCCCATCTCCTGTTTTATGTCAGTTTTTGTCCCTCATGCCTGGAATATTGCCCGTCCCCATCTTCTTAGACGCCCTACTTACCATCAAAGCTCAGTGCACAGGACACCTCTTACAAGAGGCCGTTTCTGATCTCCCCCAGCAACTAGGGCCTCTTTCCAAATTACTCCACATTTATCCTGTATTAACTTATGCTGCAAACTCTGAAAAGGCGAGGATTAGTTCAGTTTTTGTCTTCGTCTCTCCAGCAAGTGGCAACTAGGTGGCGCCATAGTGCTCAACATACGGGGACTGGAGTCAGGAAGACCTATGTGTGACCCTCAGCAAGTCATTTAACTTTTGTCTCCCTCAGGTTCCTCATCTGTAAAATGGGGATGATAATAGCAACTATCTCCCAGGGTTGTTGTAAGGATCAAATGAAATATATGTAAACTGCTTACTACAGTGCCTAGCACATGATGAGAGCTATGTAAATGCTAGCTGTTATTATTTATGCTGTAGGTATTTAATAACTGTGTATGGCTTATTGATTAATACTAGTTTAAACAGGAATCATTATCACAATTTCAAACTTTCCTTTTAAAGCAGAAGGCATTCTTAGGCATTTACCATATCTTCCCCACCCCAAAATTAATTTGAGACCAATAAATGAATCAGAGCATATGTACATTTTTAAGACTGTCTTTTTTTCAATGAAATCATTGCTAGAATCTAGCTGACTGATTTCCAAACTTAAAAGGCAGTGACATATAAATGTTAGTTATTATTATTAATAGTAGTCATTAATAGTTGCTATTTTCTTATTATTATTTCTCAATACTGAGTGAACTAAGATGGGGTTTTGCCCATTTCCAATTGAATCTATATCAAAGTTCAACAGAAATTACTAAACTAAATATTTGAAGTCTCAGAATTGTGGCCTTTAGACCATGGAATAATATTCCTGGAAAACAACATATTGTTGTTTTCTCTTTAAACCAGGAAATCCTACTTTTATCTGTTAGTGGCATTTGAGCTCTTCCACCAATAATTTAAAGAAAATCAGAGCTGTTGGTTTCTGGGACTCTTGGTTGTTGGCCCATCATAGTAGTATTTATATTAGGACACGTTGGGTATCAATGCAATTCAATTCTGTAGATTGCTTCATTCATCCTATTAGTATCCCTAGTGCCTAACATGGTATCTGGGACCTAGCCAGTCCAACAAGAAAGTGCTTAACAAAAACCAGTAGACTGATTGATTGACTCAATTCAATTCTGTGCAGCAAACATTTATTAAGTGCCTACTATGTACCAGGTACTGTGTTAGATGCTGGGCACATAAAGAAAAAAAAGCAATCCCTGCCTGCAAGGAGCTTACATTCTACTAGAATAATACTAATTTGTTCAACAAGCATTTTGGCCACCGAGCTAGGATCAAATATAAACATCTCTTTTGGCATTTAAAGACCTTACAACCTGGCCCCAATCTTCCTTTCCAGGCCCTACAGAAGATTCCCCTTCACATATTCTAAGGTCCAGTCAAACCTGCCTCACTGTTTCTCATACACAGCACTCCATTTTCTATCCCACTGCATTTGCATTCCTGGACTCTACTCTCTCCTCATCTCTGACTCTTAGAACACTTAATTTCCTCCAAGGTTGGGCTCAAGAACCACCTTCTACATGGGGCCTTTGCTGATTCCACCCAGTTATTAGTGCCTTTTCCTAAAAAATCAAAAATTTTGGTAAGACCTGGAAAAAAAAAAGGAAATTGAGGAATAGTGTGCCGTCCTCCCTCCACTATCCACTCCTTTCCCCAGCACACACACACACATACTCTGTGATCCAATGATACTGACTTGTTTGCTGTGCTTTGCACAATGGAACTCTATCTACTGACTCTAGGCAGTTTTACTTGCTTTTCCCCAGGCCTGGAATGCTCTCCCTTCCCAGCCTGACCTCCCAACTTTCTTGGCTTCCATCAAGTCTTAGGTAAAATCCCACTTTCTGCAAGAGGCCTTTCCTGATCCTTTTTAATACTAAAGCTTTCCTTCTGTTGGTTATTTCCAACTTATCTTGCATAGATCTTATTTGTACATATCTGTATTTATCTTATTTGTTTACATGTTGTCATCTGCATTAGACTATAAACTCCCTGAGAGAAGAGATTAACTTTTATCTTTCTTTGTATCCCCAGAGCTTAGCAAAGGGCCTAGTACATAGTAACAAGTTAATAAATGATTGTTGACCGACTGACTATACCTATCTCTGGACATGTGTTTTCACCAGCAGAATGTAAATTCTCTTAGAGCAGATTCTGGTATTTGTTTTATCTTTGTATACTCCGGGTCTGTGCAGTACCTAGCCTGTTGTTATTCAGTCATTTCAGTCGTGTCTGACTTTCTGTGACCCCATTTGGGGTTTTCTAGGCAAAGACACTGGAGTGGTTTGCCATTTTCTTCTCCAGCTCATTGTACAGAAGAGCAAACAGGGTTAAGTGACTTGCCCAGGGTAACATGGCTAGTAAGTGTCTGAGGCTAGATTTGAACTCATGAGGATGAGTGCTCTATCCACTGTGCCACCTAGCTGCTTCATCTTCCACATAGCAGGGGCTTAATAAATGCTTGTTGGACTAGCTAGGATTGGATTAAACATGTTGAGTCTGACCCTTACCCTGGTTTCTTTGCGAAGCACTTTCATCATCTTTGAAACTGCTTAACAATTTACTTTCAAAATCAATTCAAGTGATAACATTTTACATAAAGCAAACACATTTTAGGTCATTGGATAATATTCTGAATTGCTCAACTTGACTCCTTGCCACAGAATGTTGTATTGAGATAATTTAAACCTGTCATTGCCATCTAGAAGAAACAGTGCTCTTGGAATAACTGGGGTGGAAATGCTTTGTTATATCTCAGGAAAAGAACAAGCAATAGTACTGAGTATAAGAAGATCTTCACTCATAATGGTGACCTACCTCATTTCCTCAACTGATTTGTTGCTTGCCATACTGTGCAGAATTGGTGGTCAGGGCAATGCCTACTTGGTATAACAAACAATGTTCTCTGTCTCTCTTACTTAACACCTCAAACACCACTGAACAGATAGAATACTGTTCTTGATGCTCTTACTATGGCTTCAACACCTACAAAAAATAAGTAGATTAGAAACCACATTAAAAGTATTTTTTTCATAGCTATCCTCTGTTTTGACATCACCTTCATTTCCAGTTATATCCCTCTGCCCTCCCCCAGACAGCTAACCCCTGAAACAGAAAAAAAAAAGTTGGCATTTCAGCTAAACTAACATAACCAATTATCAAGTCTTACAGTATATGTAATATTTCACACCCATAGTCCTCCACATCTTTATTTCCTCCTCTCTGCTTCAGGGCCAACCTTGAACGTTATAATTATACAACATTCAGTTTCTTTTTTTGTTTTGTTTTGTTTTATTTGCTCTCCATTCACATTCTTGGAGTCATAGCGTACATTGTTTTTACGGTTCTGCTTAATTTCAGTCTGCATCAGTTCATATAAGTCTTCTCCCCCTCCCACTCCCTTGCCTGCGACCCCATGAAGCCACTAATAGACATATATATCCCAAGGAAGTCAATTGTGTACATCCTCCCATTCTGGAAGCTACATTTCTGACACAGCCCATTGTATCTACTGGCTTTTAATGTTACTATCCGACTGAAAACTTGTAGATAACGTGTGTGGAGAAAGGAAAATAGAAAACTTTCCAAATCTTGGAAAATACTCAATTACTCAAATGGAATAGAAAGAAGCCATAGATGTTCCAATCTAAATTATATATTTTTAGTCTCTCATTTTTCCAGTTCATGGTAAAATGCTTTATAGACTACTACTTAGTAGAAAATTAAGAAAAAAATAATTTTTTAAAGATCTTTCATTATTTTTCCTGGCCATTACAGAGAAAGCTTTTTGTAGAATACAGAGGACCATCATTGAAATCTGAAAGACCTGAGTTCAAATCCTGTCTCTGACAGGTCCTCACTATGTAACTCTGCTCAAGGAACCCAACCTCTCAGTGCCCCAACTCTCCATAAGAAGTAGATAAATTGCTGATTTGCCTACATAGAGGGAGATTCCATATTAGGAGTTTCTTATGCTGATTAAAATCAAAGGTCTGGTTTCTTCTACAGCTCTACCCCTTCAAAAAAAAAAAGTCAATTCATACTATTTCAGACCTAAGGGGAGAGTTTTGGACCCTGTGTTGTAAATATTCCATTTGAAATGACTTGATTCTAGTTCCTTAATTTTAAGTTCACAGCAAAGTCAAATAAAAAAATAGAAAATTGGGATGATATTGTGGATAAAGAGGTAGCCTCAGTCAGGAAGACCTGCTTTCAAGTGTGGCTTCTTAATCATGCTTAGGCTGTGCCATCCTGGGCAAGTCACTAAAACTTCCACTGATTTAGTACAACTATTTAAGACTGTAAATTGCAGAGTTTTTGCCAATATATACTTCTTTACACAAACAATCCTAGATTCCCCTCCCTGCCCTCAACATATACATATACATAAAAAGGAATAAAATAAACTATTCTACACAATAGCTTATCCCACTTGCAAAGCCCATAATTAATTTCAAATCTTTTGAGAATTGATGAGGATCTAGAACACGGTGGGAAACCTGTGCCTTGAGGCCACATGTGGGCCTCTAAGTCCTCAAGTACGGCCCTTTGACTGAATCCAGACTTTTTTTTTCTTTCTTAGGCAATTGGGGTTAAGTGACTTTCCCAGGGTCACACAGCTAGTAAGTGTCAAGTGTTTGGTCTCAGGCCGGATTTGAACTCAGATCCTCCTGACTTCAGGGCCAGTGCTCTATCCACTGTGCCACCTAGCTGCCCCCAAACTTTTATTAAGGGGATTTGTTCTGTAAAGTTTGGAATAAGTCAAAGGGCTGTACAAGAAGACTTAGAGGGCCACATGTGGCCTAGAGGTCACAGGTTCCCCACCTTTGATCGAGAACCTACCCAATGTCTTCTCCTGGCAATATTCCTTATTCAGTTAAGGACACACAGAGACTGGTGAAGCTTCCAGGATCTTGAGAGACCGACAGAGGTGCTATAGGTCAGGTCAAGGGTACATGTGGTGATGCTCTTTTTTATATTTAGAAAGCTAGATGCTAAATAATGTTAGGTTATCCCCTCTATAGCCCTTCCTCTTTATGTTATTATTATTATTTTTATTTTGAAAACTTCCATAATTAATGTTGTCATTGCAACTAGATACCATTTCCCCCCAAGGCTCAACTCTATGCAACTAAGATGACTAGCTGAACAACTCAACTGCTCAAAGGCCCCCTTCAATAGTGTATAGAATAAGTGAACCTGGAATTTCAGATGAATGAGACAGCAACCATAATCCTGCTCCTGCCTTAGTCAAGCTTGCCATTCTTTGTGAGGAAAACTCCAGGGCCCCTCCAGTGACTGATGAAGTCAAATGAAGAGATCATTTCAGATCATTCTGGTAAGGATATCCTTTCCTAAACTTCATGCCTCTGTTAATTGGCCTCTCTGCATACTTCTGCTGTTTTTTTGTTTGTTTGTTTTTACTGCATGCCTCTGTGAAATTGTGACTGAATGCTGCTTGGCCCTCTGTGAGCCTCTGTTGTTTTTTAAACTGCATGCCTCTGTAGAGTTGAAACTGCATGCCTCAGTAACCATGTGCCTCTCTATGAATTGTAACTGCACTATCTGTGTCTATTTATATCTGCCTTATCATTTTATCTGTGTTTGTGTCTTTGTAAAATGTAAAATGTCTGTGTCGTGTTTTTGTTGTGAGCTAGATTCTGTTACTTAGAAAGATTTAAAATGCAGCCAGCCAGAAAAAAACTTCTGAGGGCTGTAGCCAGAGAATTTAGAACACTGGGAAAAATTAATAAACTTTCATAGCTGAAGCAATTGTCCCAGGAAGCAGGACTAACTTCCACTTTAGGCTTTCCAAGGGAGATTAGGTTACAAGAAAAGAAAAAGAAAAAATCTGCAAGACATTTTTTTTTCTGTCATTTTACCTTTGGCTATGTTGGAATTATAGAAATAAAGTCAGAAAATCAAAGTTTGTGGAACTACTGAAAACATCTTAACAGATTAAGGAGTTTGAAGATTTATCATTTTAAGATTGCAAGGGAAAACTACTGGGACCTTGGGGTAATTCCAAGTATTCACTCTCTTCTGAAATATTTTAGTAAGTTTTGGGGTGCCATTCTATAGAATTTGTTTTAAGGAAAAATAAGGATTAGATTTTATAAAAGTTTTAAAAGTAAATGGCAAGATTAAAAGTTTCATTATTCCAGGGCAATGAAGGAAGGCAGCTAGTGTGGAAGCAATCCTAGAGTGAAGAAAGAAAAAAATTGATAAATGGTTTGTACCTTATAGCAGACTCTTGATAACCTTTCCTTGAACTTCTGACCATGAAAAGAGAAAAGATTGTTGAAACCAAAGATCTCTTGTAACTCCCTCAGGTAAGAGATCCTTTCCCTCTCCCTGTTAACCCCTCTCATCCCTGATCAAATTCCGAAATACAGGTGTTGAAAAAACATGCTGGAAAAATGTAGGGAAACATGAATTATATTCCAGTTACAGAAATTTATTAGCTATGTAATCATAGGCAAGTTATCTTATTTCTGTTTGCTCCAGTTTCTTGATATGTAAAGAGAAAAATGATAACAGTAACCACCTCCCAGGGTTGTTGTGAGATCAAAATAATACAATGATTATAAAGTGCTTAACACAGTGACTGGCATATGCGAAGTACTGCATTATTTCTTTAATTGAATGTCATTGTTCCACATCTGATAAGTCAAAAGTGGTTTTTAAATGCCAAAGGTAATAAGATCAATGATTTTTATATGGGATAATTTGGAAATGCAATTGATGTCATTTGAAGTTTTGTTTCATATTCTAAATACATGATATTTTTTATGTTATTATTGTATTTCTAAATTCTTTTATATTGTGAAAATTAAGAGCCATTGTAGTAGAAATGCTGTTAGGCAAAACAACTTTTTAATCTTGTTGATACTACACATGAATTGGGCTTTTAAGAGGATGTAATAAAAATAGATATTTGAAAACTGTTAAATATTTAATGAAGTATAATTTATTGTAAAGCAGATAATAATAATACATAATAGCAATTTTTTTTTAAAAATCCTGGCTATTATGAAAGTGTATAGGGTGGTTTAAAGATGTAGCTTCAACGTATTAATGATGAGTCACTAACAGGCAGTGGCTGTATGTCTGAAGCCCCAGAATATGAGTAGTTTTAATTTACAATAAGGATAGATGGAATATTAACTGTTAGGGAAACATCAAGAAAGATACTCAAGCTCTAAATTGAGGTTAGTGAAATTTTGCTATTTATGGTAAAAATTTTGGGGACTATAATATACTATTGTTTTGAGCTTTGATTACAGAGATAGTTGTCTGAATTTTCATAGAACCAATAGTAGAAAATGGCATGTGCTGCAGTCTGGGAACTGCCAAAGGTGGATGTCTGTGCCTGGGAAAAGTTTTGGGGATGACTTTGGCATGGCCCAAGGTAGGATCCTCCTGACTCTATTTCTCCATTCTGCCATCTCCTTTCTGAAAAGGAAATTTCCTCACCTGGTTAATCTTGAGCCTTGCTTTTTATTCCCTGTGACTATATGATTGGCTGTCAGATATGACTCATGTCTGGAATCCAACAGAGCTAAGGGAGTTTTTCCTTCTATTACATTGTTATAACTATGTCCTTCCTTTTTCCTTTTATAGCAAATTTCTATAATTAAGAAGTTTTGTAAGCACAATACTAAATCTATTAAATAATAGATTGATACTGGAACATCTCTGAGTTACTATAGTAGGATGCAAGTATAAACATCTTACAATTTTAAGCTGTGTTTGTGGTCAAATTATAGTAGAGGGATGATATCCTCCTAATGGGGAAATTATTAGACAAAGTATTAAGACAAAGATGTAATGTAAAAGTTTTCTAAATAAATGGAATGATAAATTTTGAGAAAGCAACAGGATTATATGGTTGGCTTCCAAATTCATCTATCATAGAAATTCAGGCTTTGAGTACATTTTAGTAATAAGTTCTCAATATTGTATTGAGATTTTACACTATGATA